ATTGGCTCATCACTTTGCTTGTTTTAAGAAATCTTCATGAAACAAGCAAAAGTATCCACGAGTATAGTGAAATAATTTGGTACAGAGTAAGAAGTGAAGTCACAAGTAATGAGACTAATTACTTTTTACTGGAAGTAATAAGTACGGAGCCCTGGAGGGGACAGAAAATAAGAAATTAATTCAGGTGAACATTTTGCAGTTAGTACACACGTTTTCTTTAATTTGTCATCACGATTTCTTAATTAGTTCAAACAATTAACAATTTGTGCTCTTGTTTTCTTTTAATTGTGCGCACATTTTCTTTAATTTGTGGGTACGTTTTTTCAATTCATGATCACAATTTCTCAATTCATGCTCTTGTTTTCTTTTAATCATGCTCATGTTTTCTTTTTAATTGTGTGCATGTTTTCTTTATTCGTGCGTAAACAAAATGAATGTAGCTTACAGAGGCCAAGTTATTTGTTATGTGCACAAGTAGCTGACAGCTCCCTGAGACTGTCTGATGGGTTTTGATGTGTTAGATTGATTTGATGATGGACAGAGATGCTCATCAGGTCTGATTTGGGGCCACTGTAGCTTCTCTTCACAGCGGAGCTTCAGAATCATCTGAATCAGCAAGCAGCCGCAGATTCATCAGTGCAGCTGCAGTTTGATGGAGAAATGAAGGAAGACAATAAACCACAACCACAATCACTAAACTGCACTTTCTAATGATTATATTTAACAGAGATATAGAAGCAGCACGGCCGCTTAGCACTGTTTCTCCAGCTGAACTGCAGTGTTAGAGAGCATCACACAATTACATCAAGAAATGTGTCAACATTTCAACAAACTCACATTAAACACACAGAGAATCATTCATGTGGCTCACATTATTAATTTTAGCCATTTTCATGGTTTTATTTCCAGTTTTCATTACTATAGTTACACACTCTACTCTTTACAGCATATATGGTTAAATGACACATAATAATGTTCATTTAAACTTCATCATCATGGTGTCAAATCTTCTTGGAAATACACATTTAAATATTATTCCTTCCTTCTTTCTGTCATTTTTGAATATTTATTTTATATAAAAAAATAATAGAATAAATCTATAAACTCTCATTTTTTAGACCTCATAATTTCAAACCAACTTAGAAATACAGTTATTTATTCTCTATATACTACAAGACTTATTTTGATAAATAATGTGTATATTATATGATAATGATTTTAATAGTCCAATAAATCTATTAAACTCTCTCACCATTAGACCTCAAGCCACATAAATGATTACGTGTGTGTTTAATGTGTGTTTGTTGAAACATTGACGCTAGAATATAAATTGATACGTATAGCAACTGAATATTATATTGCATATTACATCTAACCAAAAGGAAAGCTGCTGGTACTATATTACAGTATATTATTCTATTACAGTGTGGTGGGGGTCCTGTAATGGACCTGATTCTCATGATTTTCCTACAGATACATTATGAGAGTTTGTAAACACTGTAAATATCCAAACAACGACTCTCCTGATTTTCCTACCGACACATTTTCAGAGTTTATAAACACTGTAATTATCCAAAAACTGTACAAGTGATAAGTTCCCCAGAGAGCCTGTAATGTTCTGTGGTACTAATTATCCTCTGATAGGGACCTGCATAAGGGAGCTTGTCTGCTCCAAGAAATTACAGTGTAAATGAAAATTAGTTCTTATATGGAAAAAATATATAAAAAATATATAACATATATTTTAATATGAAATACAATTAAAATGCATTGTAGTCCATGCAGAAATACACTCCAAATGCTAAAATATATTTCAGAATGTATTTTAAAATATATTTATTTTAAAATGTATGGAGAAATATTACATATAGAAATGTACTGTACAAAAATAAATGTATGTAAATATATTTATCAGATACATTTGAAAACGTATAAAAATAGGCAAAATACTTGTCTACTGCACTGTTTAGAACACCTTTTTTATTTCAGTATCTTTATTTTGATTATTAGCAAATGAACCTTCAACATGGCAGAAGCAAGTGTTGTAGGTATGGATACACTGTGAAATGCAATTTGATGATCAAATATCTTGTTTATTTGACATACAAAATCTCTTCGAAACAGGACAATATATCTCGCCTCCAAAGTGTGCAACACAGCGCAAAAGCCCTGGTTCTCAAAGACTGAGTACAGATGCAAATCCTTGGCAATAAAAGTTGCGATAGAGTTTGTAATTCACTTCATCCTTTCCGAGTTGTTTGGAAGTTTGACATTGCTTGATCAATGGTCCTCTGGTTGGCAGCAACTACAACCAGGTGGAAAATGGGTGGAAACATGAAATATGGTTTTCCCCCTCAACTCCATAGAAGCTAAATTGCTTCCATATGCTAGCTCAAGGGTCGGCAACCCGTGGCTCTTTTACTGGCCTGTTGTTGCTCCACACCAGAATTAGGTTTGTAGGTAAAAAAATAATCATCCTTTGCAGTAAAATAAAACTCTGCCAATCATTCAAACACAGTTTTAACAATAAATGATCTTAAACATTGGAATTGATGTAGCCTATAACTGCTAGTTCACCTAGCTAGTACCTAACAAAAAGGCAAAGAGAAAAATTTAAGACAAGCTTCAATAATTTGGAGATTAATGGACTTATTTGCATTTATAATCACTCAAGCTGGTTTCCTGATGCATTTATTTTGCAACAAGAAATTGTCAAACATTAAAAAAACACATGAAACTGAAGTCAGTTTCTCGTTCTCCAGCTTCATTTGAATTTTCCTGTTCCACAGACTGTCCATGCACTGCACTTCCACAAAGTTCCGCCTTTGGCATTATGTGAACATTACGTTACTAATTAAAACAAAGTGGAAGTGATTGGGAATGACAGCAACTCAGCCACGAAGTGGTAGGCCACCTCAAATGACAGTGCAGGGTCAGCGGATGCTGAGGCGCATAGTGCGCAGAGGTCGCCAACTTTCTGCAGAGTCAATCGCTACAGACCACCAAACTTCATGTAGCCTTCAGGTTAGCTCAAGAACAGCGTAGAGAGCTTCATGGAATGGGTTTCCATGGCCGAGCAGCTGCATCCAATCCTTACATCACCAAGCGCAATGCAAAGCGTTGAATGCAGTGGTGTAAAGTGCCGCCACTGGACTCTAGAGCAGTGGAGACGTGTTCTCTGGAGTGACCAATCACGCTTCTCCGTCAGACGAGTTTGGGTTTTGCGGTTGCCAGGGCAACGGTACTTCTCTGACTGCATTGTGCCAAGTGTAAAGTTCGGTGGAGGGGGGATTATGGTGTGGGGTTGTTTTTCAGGAGTTGGGCTCGGCCCCTTAGTTCCAGTGAAAGGAGCTCTTAATGCTTCAGCATACCATGAGATTTTGGTGCTCCCAAATTTGTGGAAACAGTTTGGGGACGGCCCCTTCCTGCGTACCAGTGCACAAAGCAAGGTCCATAAAGACATGGATGAGCGATTTTGGTGTGGAAGGACTTGACTGGCCTGCACAACCTCAACCTGACAGAACACCTTTGGGATGAATTAGAGCAGAGACTGCGAGCCAGGCCTTCTCGTCCAACATCAGTGTCTGAACTCACAAATGCGCTTCTGGAAAAATGGTCAAAAATTCCCAGAAGAGTTGAAGTTGTTACAGCTGCAAAGGGTGGGCCAACATCATATTAAACCCTATGGATTATGTGTGTGTGTGTTTCTATGTATTTTAATATATTTTAATTTTAAATATGTAATTAATGCCTATGACAGTGTGTGGTGCTGTTATGAGTGTATGAGGTGCAGCAGTGTTACTTGTTATATATATTGTGTACTGTGTATCTCCCTGGCCACTTTACAAGAAATACCTACATTGTAGCTCCACCTTGCTGGTGTAGAGTTGGAGACTGTAGCTCTTTTGTTGATAGTTTTAGAGTTTTTGTTGCACTGACAGGGCACACAGATTTAAGGGGAGCACAGGCCAGCCTCTTTGCACGCCAGTAATAAGTGACAGAACAACCTGCATGAAAAACGGAAAACTGTATTTTTTTAAATAAATCCTCAAACCAACAAAAGAAACTATATGCTAGTTCTATCGTTTTGTTTTTCATCATCAATTTAAACTAAATATAAAATTCATGCTTATAAAATGAGCAGTTATAAACTGCATCATGCCCCACTTTTTTAATGAAATTATATTTTCTTGTATCAAATTTAATTACACTTCATAACAGCAGATGCTATCTTTCTTTCTTATATTTAGCAGTCTAATACACATGTTTGCTAGGCTGCATGTAAAGCTACAAGTGGTTTATGTTAACATAAATGTTAGCATTACTTTGGCTGCTGTTTGACTTGCTTTTTAATACTTTGCATGTCCATGCTGACCTGCTTCTAGATCTGTATTGAAATTGTTTTAAAAAAAAAAAACCTGAAAAAGGTTATACTGTCTAATTTCATGGGAACTGAAAGCGTTTGAAGGAAATTTGATGGGAGACAGTGGGAAATGTAATACGTGTAGTGAAGTTGCATGGTCATAATGTTTGTGTTGTATTTAGGTTAAAATGGAAAACTTTATGGTTTACATATCGACATTTTCCAGTCATTCAATGGGGAACAGTGACATTTTACAGTTACATGTGCCTCAGTAAATTGTGTGTAGTGATGCTCCTTGGAGGTCCTGTGGTGGTCTCTTTGCTTTAATAAATGAGGTAGAGGGAGACTGATAAACAGAACAGCAAAACTCTGTAATTGTAATCTATAAAGTGCACCTATATCAGTAACATACATTTTTGCTGGCAGGAAGTCAATATGGCAAACATTCCTGTGTCTGTTTATTAAGCTGGCTTTTGTACTAATGAAAGGAAATGTTAAAATGCGTGCAGTAAATAAAAATCTTAGGTTTAAACCAGATGCCTGACTTTGATATCTCAATAATTGTCCATGAATGTGTTGAAGTTCTCTCAATTCCACTGACCTCGACTCAAAAAGCCCACCCCTTCAGCAGAGCTATAAGTCTCACTTTAAAAGGAGGAACTCTTTCAGTTTCATATAGACTAACCTTCTTTGGTGAGCTGAGATCAAGAATAGGTCTGAAAGGACTTACTGGAGGTAAGATTTCTTTTTTATACTGGTTGTCTGCAATCACAAAAACATTATACTGAAGCCAACAATAGCTTAATGTTAACATGTTAAATGACTATAACATTATTGATTGAGCATATGAACTTTAATGGGTTTTCTTAATTATTGCTTGTGACTAAAGATGTCTTCTGTTTGCTTGAAAATGCGGTTCAATGTGATGAAATGCAGTAGTTGGCAGTAGGCTTGGCTGGAGGCACTGTTTAGATACATAAACATGAATGCACACTTTATTTGGTATCATTAAAGTGAATTATAACATTTAAGAATTTGGACAGGTGAATGACCACCTTAACACAATGGATCAATGAATTTTCACATAGTTAGTCCTATGAAATGTTTGAGTAAATCATTTTGCCATTTGACAGCACCACTCAGAGGGGCTTTCCAGAGAAGAATGCATCAGTGCCTCAAGCCTGGCCTAATACAAACTGTATGATGAGAGTAGAAATTAGGAAAAAAGTAGGAAAAGATTGTCTCTCATCTGCCTGTTTGCTCTCAGTTTATGTTATGCTTCAAAACAAAACAAAAAAGCAGTAACATTAGCTTAAATTTCACAATGCACTAGAATGTGAGGTATGTCCATCCTATTTGGCAAAAAATGTCATAATGAAATGTTCACAACGTATGTTATGCTGCCATCTGGTGGATCTTATTTATTTCTATTCATTATTGATTTTGTTTCTTTTTTGTTTGTTTGTTTGTTTTCTTGGGGTATATAAATACATAAATATACCCTTCAAACTCAAGCCTTTCAACAGACTTTGACCAGAGAGCTGCTTTGGTCTTGAAATTCTCTTAATTTCTGACAAAAATCCTCTGAATGATTCTGTACTGAGTTAACTGATCCCCAGGAAAAAGATAAATAATAGTAAATAAACTAATAATAATTTTTAGCTCTTATCTTTCAATTTACAGTGATTTGAAGTTTAAGAAAAAAGTTACAAGGCCTGTCTTTCTGGCTATCAGAGTGTTAGCTTTCAGCATGGTTTCAAGAGGACAGAAAATCAATAAAATATGGATGTCTTAATAAATGCCAATTATTTATTTGTAGTCAGTAATAAGTAATAGAATAAATCACTATAAAATTCTTCAATCTTTAGATCACAGACCAAAATCCTTAAATACTATAGTGTTGAAGCCAGAAAAAAAGTTATGTAATGCAAAAGTTTGGGTGTTAACACATCCTCTACACACTTCTGCACATTTCTATTTATTGTTTATTTGCTGAATTTAACATTTTGGAACATTTCATCTGTTATATTTTATTTTTTCCAATATTTCAAACTGAGCAAAAAAGTATAAATACACTAGAATTTGCTGAAAAATGTCATAATGAAGCTTGTTCACTGTAGATGACGTGTAGTTTCACTTAGAACATCAACAAAGCAATGCACTTGTTTAAACTTTAGTAGATGGTGTGGCCTCAGAATTTGTTTAGAACAGTAAAATTATTTTTTCTAATTGATTGATATTCATCTGTATGCTGCTTAGGGCCCTGCAGCCACTAGGAGGCCCCAAAACAACTTCTGAGTTGTTATTGTACCATTATGTTGTCTGAGATGCTCGACTGAGGGGGAAAAGTAACTAGTTAATCATGACTCAAAAAAGAAAGTACACATCTGGAGTCGAAACACGGAGAAGAAAGAGAAGATGCGGAGAAAATGCTTAAAGATAAAGGGATGTTTTGTTTTGTTATGTTTTGTGTTCATGTTATGCCATTTGTTTTGATCAACAAGAAGTGATCAATTTAGGTGTGTCTAAGACGGGTTCAGCTTAGATAGGATTTCTGATCATGTTCCAGCTTCACAAAACCAAACAAACACAGACACGGTAAACACGGTGGATTTTGCTGCTAATCCAGGTTTAGATACTCAGACTTTGAGTAAATCTTGTGAACATGCACGTGACAAAATGCCATTTATGACAAACAGCCAATCATGTGAAACATAAGGAAGAGTCACCAAAGAAGGACAAAGAAATTATACTGCCTAAAAATGTTGAAATTAAGGCATTTACAAAAAATTATAAAAAAGCTACACTGTCACCACTCCCAACAGGGTGAGCTTAAAGTAAACTGTTTAAGCACAAAAAATACAAGAATGCTGATAAGGGTACCTGTAACAACTTATTAAAACCCCAAACGAGCATCTAATCATCAGTAACAAACAAATAATGGCCAGTTATAAATTTACATAGTTTAGGCAGTTTGTGCTAGTCATGTGGTAGATGAGGGGACCCCAAAAAATCCTGCTTAGGGCCCTCAAAAGACTAGAGCTGGCACCTGTCTACATGTTTTAGTTTTTTTTTTGCAAAATTGGAAAAGTGCCTAATCTAGTTAATAGACAGAGATGAATGAATCCATAAAGGACTGCAAAATATTAAAAAATAAAAAGGCATGCAGTCAATAATATATTTAATTCAGCTGTCCTACCTTGATATCTGAATAATTTTCATTGAAGGTATGGATGAAATTCTCTGAAAAATCAGATGTTGAAAGTGAGACATTTTACCATTTCATGAATAATATTAACTCATTTAGAACTTGATGGCAGCAACGCATCTCAAAAGAGTTGGGACAGGGCCACGTCTACCTTTGTGTAGCATTCCCTCTTCTTTTAACAACAGTCTGTAAACATCTGGGAGGTGAGGAGGCCAGTAGCTGGAGTTTTGGGAGAGGAATGTTGTTCCATTCTTATCTGAAGTAGAATTCTAGCTGCTCAGCAGTCCTGGGTCTTCTTTGCCAGATTTTTCATTTCATGATGCGTCAAATGTTTTCTGTTGGTGAAAGGTCTGGACTGCAGAAGGGCAAGTTCAGCACCCAGACTCTTCTTCTGCGAAGCCATGCTGTTGTGATGGATGCAGTATGTGGTTTAGCAATCCAAGATGGCGCCGAGCATGGCTGCCGTGTTGTGAGCTCCCTTAACTTGTTCGTTTTTTGTTAATTTTGTTTTTATTTGTAACTACTTTTGCATTAAATGTTGCCAGCACCTTTGTTTACGACAGAAAAACACGTTTGGAAATCAGATCGACGATCACTCACCAAAAACCAGACTTTGAGTTCCTGAACGCAGATCCATTGTTTGGGAACCTCAAAGAGGCCCCATTCATCGGGGCCGACCAGCCGAGGAAATGCCGCAGATGCCGGAAAAGGGGCAGGAGAGCCGGCGTTCTGGTCAGGCTGAGATGGCGTGCTAATCGCCCCCCACTCCCCAGCATACTACTAGCAAACGTGCAGTCACTGGACAACAATATCAGCAAACTCAGGGCACGAATCTCTTTCCAGCAGGAAACACTGGACCGCTGTATAATCTTCCTCACAGAGACCTGGCTATCAGCGAAGATTCCCAATGAGGCCATTGAGCCCACGGGCTTCTCTGTGCACCGCGCGGACAGAACAAAAGACCTCTCCGGGAAAAGCAAAGGGGGAAGTGTATGTTTTATGATCAACAATGCTTGGTGTGATCAGAGGAATGTACACTTCATCAAGTCTTTCTGCTCCCCGGACTTGGAATATCTAATCATCTTGTGCAGACCGATGTGGCTGCTAAGAGAGATATCAGGGCTCACTGTCACCGCCGCCGTTCCATTTTGCCTCATTTCATTCTATATGAGCTTCGACCCAGAGAAGACAGCAGTGTTTCTGGATCGTGTCAACATATGGCTTCTTCTTCGCATGATGCAGTTTTAACCTGCATTTATGGATTGCACAGCAAACTGTGTTCACAATGATTTTTGAAAGTGTTCCTGAGCTCATGCAGTGATTTCCAGAACAGCATCATGCTGTCCCAACTTTTTTGAGATGCATTGCTGCCAACAAGTTCTAAATAGGTTAATGTTTTCCATGACATGGTAAAATGTCTCATTTTCAACATTTGATATGTGTTCTATGTTCTATTGAGAATAACATACGGGTCTGTGAGATTTGCAAATCAGTGCATTCTGTTTTTATTTACATTTATTTTGATTTTATGCAGCATCCAGATTTTTTTGGAATTGGGATTATAATTTAATAATGTTGTATTTTATAATATATTTTGTAAATTATAACAAATAAAATATAGCATAAAAATTCCAGTTTTCAGTTTCCAGTTACTTCAGATGGAGACTTTGCACTCAGCTAGTCTTGAGAAGAATTTCCGAGTTTACCTTACCCCGAGACCAGACTCGAGCAGTGAAACACTAAAGAATGTATTATTTATGTCAAATTAGTTCTAGCTTTTGTTAGTTTTTTGTTTGTCAGTTTCCAAAAACATGTTATTAATCTAAATATAACAGAAATGTTACATTTTATAATGAGTATATCTTACTGTGGCCTCCAGACGGGCTCATTGTCTCTCTTTTTGATAACACATTTACTTTCTGTTCCTCTTTCTCTGTCAGATCAACATGATCAAACGCCGTTCTGCTAAGTAAGTTAAATAATAACATCCACACATACAAAGTAACAGAACATTAAATTAAACATTTTACGTTAAATAAATTATTAAATTATTTAATTAACATTAATTAGTTAATTTTTTAGAGTGACTTGCAAATGCAAATATATATAATTCTTTGATTTTACAGGAAATTGGTGTCACAAATGAAATTGCTCATATGTTTATGAGATTTTAGTTTTTCTGCTCTTTGTTTCTACAGTGTTGTGGTGAAGAACTCAAATGCAGCATTTATTGAGCCTCTAAAAGAAGGCCTCCACTCCATCAAGAAAGTCTGTGAGGCCCTCACTGAAGCAGATGTAGATCCCATTAGTGGGCAGAGCTCCAACTACAACTACATTAGAGAGCAGATTGTGCAGGCCAAGCAGAGCCTGGAGCAGTCAGAACAGGCAGCTGCAACAGTGCTGAGGAATCTAGATGAAAAAATTGAGATCCTTACATGTGATGAGGGAAAACTTGAACAAGAGATGACTGCTACAAAAGAAACCTTAGAAAACCTGAAAATACAACAGACATCTAATGAAAAATTGCTGAGCGAGTCTAAAGGTGCTCTGGAGCTGGCCAGAACAAACCTAAACACAGCACGAGAAGCGCTTCAGGCATTGGAAGAAAGGAGAGACAATGCTACGAGTGTGAGAGATGCTGGGTGGGGAGTGACATTAATACCAATTATCGGATGGATTGCCGGTGAGAATCTTGTTACTGATACAATTAAACAATCACTGAACTTGACCCGTTTTACATACAGCTTATTTAAAATTTTGTTTATTCTCTCTCCATGCAGGTCCCATTATGATAGCTGTTGGAGAAGCAGAAATAGCCCAAGCTACAGAAGCTATTGAAGTAGCTGAAACGGAAGTGACAGCATCAAAGAAAGAAAAGAAAAAATACAAAAGAAAAGTGTCAGACTACAAGTCTGAGATTTCTAAGACTGAGCGCAACATCAAACAGAAACGTGATAGGGCAGACCGGATCCATGAAGAGATTGGAAAAGTGAATCAGCAGAGAGACGCCATCGCTGAGTTCCAGGAGAAATTGAGAAGTGCCGTCCACATCCTGAGTGAAATGAGTGGGACATCCAGAGTGGCTGAGATTCAGACTCGCAGATTCGTCCTCCAGGAGCCAGTGATGAAGGTGATGGAGGATCTGGTAAAGGCAGCTGAAAGAATCACAGGGAACCTTCTTTGCTTAACTGACTGTGAAGATGAAAAGACGAACGCAGGCAGGGTCCGTGTACCTTTCTTGAATTGGCTTTTTCATTTATTTTCCCGCAATAAAAGAAAGAGGAGAACAACCCTATTTTCCAATTTTAAATGATGATATTATTTAATTACAGAAAGCAAGTTGTCTTCTACAACTAAACAAAATATGAAAAATGAATATGAACAAATACCAATTAAAATTTTTCCTTCCCCATTGTAACTAATTATGGATTGAAATGCAGATTTTTGCAAGAATCTGACATTTTTAACATGGTTATTGCCACACCACCATACATTTTCAAACAGAGGAAAGTAGTTAGTATTGCTAGGAGAGGAGTGCTAATATAATAGAGACATAGATTGGACAGCCACTTCCAGAGTCACCACAGTTGTGCCATTATGGAGACAAGTCTTTGGTGCCAGAAGGGTTCGCTAAAGCAGAATTTAGATAGATCTGACAGGATTTATTTCTGCAACCAAAAAAAATATTAATTTTCTGTAGATGGAAGAGCCCACAGAAACCAGAGGTCACAGAGTGGTACTATAAATGAAACAGTCTCAGTGGAAAGTATGATGGCTAATCTGAATAATTCTCGAAGACAATTTAACCAGATTCGGGATAAAAAATTTTTATGTATGTTAGAGGTTTAAATTAGGGAAAAGTGTAATTTTTCTGTTTGACAGGGAAGGCGTGGTGGGGTTTCTTGGGGTGCTGTGGTTTGTTTGTATGTTTTATCTCTCTCTTTTATTATTCCATCCTCTATATATTGTTTAAGGCCCTTTTTAGTGTGAAGGCTGGAAATAAGCTATTATAACATGGGAATACTGCATATGTCTATGTGTATGACTGATAACTAATAAAGTATCCTTGACCCACTTCATGAGTTAATTATAACTTTGGTCGAGGACGGGGAAACGTGCTGAGATTTCTATGCACACTGGGTCGCATTCTACTGAAGCTAATATAAGGAAGTTATAGGTTATGGCTCGAGAAGTCACAGGTTATGGCTAGAGAAAAAACATACAATGGCCAGCAATTTGGAGCTTGCCGTGGCCAATGCAATATGCCAAGTATTGTCAGCCAACTTCATAAAAAAAAATACTGTTGCTCTATTTAGCCTATACTTATGATTTTATGGAGTAATTTTAACCTTTAATCTAAGATCAATGCAGATAATCTGTTAATGTTTGTGTATGGAATTGTGATGTGAGTCTGTCCTAATTTGTCATGATTTCTGTTTCACTGCAATAAAGTTGGTTTTATATTGGCATATTCAGATTTCTTTCTTCAATAGCTTTCAAATGGTGCATGCAAAAGGGCTAATACTAATATAACAAATTATCATTGCTGACACTGCTGTGAGAGCTAAGGGACTGTCTACAAATTACATTACAGTAAAGACACACATGACCATAAGTGGAGTCCAAGCACTCCGCAATTTATTCTATTAAAATTGAGCCTTATGAGCCACAGTAGGTCTTTTAGCAGATCATAAATGATGAAACCAGAGGTTTTAGAAGTTTATTTATAATTATTGTTTTGTTAAAAAAAAATTAAAAATAAATAAATTAATGTTAATTTTTTAAAAACAGATTTAAACATAAACTTATGTTAACATTGTGAATAAAAATACATACTACATGACTGATAACTGAATTCTATTGCCATTTTTTTATTAAATAATTTCAATAGCTTTGTTGCCCCAAAACAAGTTTAATCTCAATAGCTTTTGAATGGTTGACCATGTTGCCCCAAAACAAGTTGTTCTTAATCAAGTGTGACCCACATGACATACCACACTTCTTTTATTAGTAAATATAACTTCTGCTGACATGTAGTAAAAGGGTTTTTGTGAATTAATTACAGTAACTTTTGCATGGTTGACCATATTGCACCAAAAATGGTATGTAATGAAGTGCTACATGTAAATACCGCACCTCTTATATTTGGGAACTTTCTGGTGATAGGTATTTTGTGAATTAATTTTAATAGGTTTGAATAGATTTAAATTTCTCCAACCCACGTGACATACTACACCTCTTATATTCGCAACTTGAACATGCATCAAATTGTGATTTTGTGAATTAATTTCAATAGCTTTTTAACAATAGAACAGAATGTTCAAGAACACAATGAACACTGGTGACAGGTTTGTATGGATTAATTTTAATAGGTTTTAAATGGTTGGCAATGTGGTTTTAAAACATGTTGTACTTAATCAAATGCAACCATGTGACACTATGCATGTAGTTTTGGCGAATTTAATCAGCTGGGGATAATTTTCAATTTTATTTCTTTTTTAAGTTAAAACTACATTTTGTAGATTGTGATCTTACTAATGTAGTGTGCATGTATGTAATTACTAAAAAGTAATCAGCCAATTATTAGGTGCTAATAATAAAAGTAGTTCAAAAGACTCTACTAAAGCTACTGAAATTACCCCAGCAGAATTCAACTGGTTTAATTTGCCAATACCATAGGCATAGCGTCATGTGGTTGCTGATTAAGTACTACAATTTGTTTTGGAGCAGTATGCTCACCCGCTCCTTCTTCTCCATTTCATACAGACAGTTATTCCTCAGTTCAAATAGCTCTTAAGGATCACGAAGATCTTAAAGGACTGAGTCACACTTGTGAGCCAGTTCAGTTGAATAGAAATCCGGTTTGTCCATTTTATCAAACTTAAGCAATTATATTCCCCCAGTTAAAGTTGTGGCCGACTAGCCTAAACATGCAAACAGTTCCAATGAGCTGATTTAATTAAAAAAAAAAGGTTTTGTTTTAGGTTTGTTCAGCCCGCTGCCCCATAGATGCCACATTGGGTTCAGCCTGACACATCAAAGCTGCTGCTGGAATAGGAATATAGGAATATATAACGAAGAGAACACAGCAATGTGTATGAGTAAATATGACAGTGTCATTGGTGAAGCCCAAAGAACTCTTAGAGTGATTGTTTTCCTCTGGCTTTATATGACATTTATTTCATTTAATAGCCTATACAGAGAATCTTAACTGATGTAGTAGTTATATTTATTTATTTATTTCTTAATGCTGAGTAAACGTTGTAGGCAACGTACAGCATTATTTAATCCATATAGAAATTCACATTAGCACCTTCTAAGCCTCATTCTTATTATTGTGTTTTGGGGAGTTTATTTCATATTTATGTGCATGAAGATTAGAAGTGATTTACACATGGATGGATTTGCTGATTGTGTGTGAGATTGTGTTTCTACCGGAGGTCACGATACATTCGGTTTTTTACGCCAGTTGCAGAATGAATACTGCCCTGCTGCTCCGGGCAGCTAGCCAGCACAATCACAGTTATTAAACAGAAATAAAAGCTACCGAGAGCAGTCTGTGCAGCCTAGATTAATCTGTGTCTGAGGATTATAACAAAACAAATTTGGTGAACATCAGTTGAGTAGTAAGGAATTATGGTTGATAAATCATGAAAAGTCATCATCTCTCAGTATATGTGCATTGGTTAACAAGTGGATCCTGACCGCTCCAACATGACGGACGCGCAAACGCATCGCCTTAGATTGAGAACAACAGACAAAGTAGCATCAGCGTGTATATATCTATGCACCACCCAGTCTTTCAGCAAAGGCTGCAGCTGTTGCACTGGGAGATGGGGGCAGGGCGATGCAATTAACACCAGATTTAAAGGGGAACTCCACCAATTTCTCCAAAATTCTGCATAATCAAACGGTTAAGATGGTAAGTCAGAGTGGTTTGGTTTTGAATGGTCTGTTCAAGAAATATTACTGAGTCAGAATTGTTCACAGTAGTGGTGATCAGAAATAGACGTCCACTTCTAAAAGCCCCCTCACAGAAAATTACATCATATAAGTACATAATTACATGATAAGTTTATGAATACACTTCCTGATATATGAGACATTGTCTTATAATAGTTTTATGATAAAGGTTTTGGTCTAAAACACATTTTAATCAAATTATTTTAATCCATTCATAGTGAAAAGACAAAAAGGTGTTCTAATGCAAAATAGACCCCAAAGAAAACTTATTGTTTCAGATTTTCCAGTATTTTACCATAATTAACATTATACAGAAATATTGAAAAATTGGTGGAATTCCCCTTTAGGCAGACAGGAGCTGAACCCCTTTTCATCAATGTTTTTGTAGTTTAGTGAATCAGTTTGTAGTGAACTACAATACTTCTGTTATGAGCTGTGATTCTGGCAGCCCATGTATACAAGAATGAACCAAATTCTGTCAAAATTAAAGTCTCTTTAATAAATAAATACAATTATTTTTTGACTCTGTGACTTAAAATGATAAACTTGTTTAAGAGAACAGAGCATTTAAAACACTTTAAAATGTAATTAAAACGGACACATTTTCATTTGAATAATTACGAACTGATGAAAAACTTAGTAATCAACAGAAAGGAGCATATTGTTCTTGACGTACTGTTGGTAGAAAATACAGTTTTGCACTGACACTTTATTAATGATTAATCTTACTCAGGGCACACAAATCTTCTAGAAAAGTAGCATTATGAAGGAAAATATAGGTCTTGATTTTGACTGAAATACCTTTATGAAAGCCAGTACTGCTGAGAAACAGTTTTGCACTGATATAATCTTACTCATGAATCTTTTAGAAGAGTAGCATTATTACTAATCTTTCTGGGGAATACAATTTTCTCCTAGCACTTTATGGATATAATCTTATTCAGAACAAATGAAGCTTTATGAAAAGTCAATTTTGATGTTAAATATAGGTCTTTGAACCACTGGCACAATATTTTATACAAGGTGAATAGACACTGCCTATATGGCAGTGCCATGGGAGATGTGGGAGATGGCGGGGAGGCCCTTGGTGGCATAGGCCCCTGTGGCAGAAACTGGCTCTTGGTATGTGGAATGAAACCTCACTGGGGAAGAACTGAGGTACCAACTAGATATAGCTCACCTCCACCCACAATGTCATCTCTGGAACTAAACTCCTGGATAGGGATCCCTCCCCTACTCAGGAGTTGCACAGGGTGAGAGGTGCCGGCCGGGTGTGGGGATACTCACGTGTCCCCGGCTGGCGGCCATGCAGTTGGAGTTTGTCCCGGTGGATGAGAGGGTCGCCTCAATGCGAATTAAAATAGAGAGAGGAAAACTGACTGTTGTGTGTGCTTATGCACCAAACAACAGGTCGGAGTATTCGGCCTTCTTGGAGCGAGTGGGCGGGGTTCTGGAAAGGGCCCCGCCTACAGACTCCACAGTCTCACTGGAAGACTTCAATGCTCATGTTGACAATGACTGGGAGACCTGGAGAGGCATGATTGGGAAGAACAGCCTGCCCGATCTAAATCCAAATGGTGAATTGTTATTGTGCCAGACATGGATTGTCCATAACAAACACCAAGTTCAAACACAAGGATGTTCCTAAGTGTACATGGTACCAGAGCTCCTTGGGTCAAAGGTCAATGATCGACTTTGTTGTCATTTCATCTGACTTGGGACCACATGTTGTGGACACTCCGGTGAAGAGAGGTGCTGAGCGATAAACTGATCGACATCTGGTGGTGAGTTGGATCAGATGGCAAGGAAGACTGATGGTCATACCCGGTAGGCTCAAGCAAATAGTGAGGGTGTGCTGGGAACGACTGTCAAAGGCCCCTGTTCTGAATGATTTTAATTCCCACCTCCGGGAGAGCTTTTCTCATGTCTCAGAGGAGGTAGGGGTCATGAATGGACTCTGTTCAAAACCTTGATTGTTGAAGCTGCCAGGCATAACTGTGGCCAAAAGCTTATGGGTGCCTGTCAGGGCAGTGATCCAAGAACCCCCTGGTGGACACCGGTGGTGAGGGAGGCCGTCAAGCCGAAGAAAGAGGCCTTTAGGGATTGGATGGCCTGGAGGACTCCCGACTCAGCAGATAGGTACCGACAGGCAAAAAAGGTGGCAGCGGCAACGGTGGTGAAAGCAAAATCCAGGGCGTGGGAGGAGTTTGGTGAAGCCATAGAAAAAGACTTTCGGTCGGCCTTGAGGAGGTTCTGGACAACTGTCCGGCAACTCAGAAGCAGTCGGGGTGGCTTTGCCCAAGCTGTATTCAGCAGGGGTGGAGAAACTCTGACTTCAAATGAAGATATTGTCGGTCAGTGGAAGGAGCACTTTGAGGAACTCCTTTATCTGGGAGACATGCCTCCCTCACAGGAGTCAGGGCCAGAGGCTTCTGTCATGTCAAGCTCCATTTCCCTGGTGGAGGTCACTGACGTGGTTGGCAAGCTCCTCAGTGGCAAGGCACAG